CAAAAAGAATAAAAAACTAGAAAGGTTAAAATATGAAGCTTTGTAAAGCAACAAATGATGTCTGGAATCTAAAATGTGGCTATTTACAAACTGTTTACTGTTAACAAACTTGCATGATATTTTTAAACTCCAGCACCCATTTGTTAAATGAAGGAACATTATTATCAATTGCATAAAGTTTTTAAACTGTTTCATAATATAATTCATGTAAAGAGCTTTGCACCATTCTTGCCACATACATTCCAGTTTTTATGATTTGAAAGTGTTGATACAGAATATATGGTCATTGTATCAGAATGTTAATAATAATTGCATGGGTCACAGGCATTTAGTATCTGACATTTTATCTTTTAAGTCAGAAAGATATTGATCATCATAGCACTCACTGGCATTACTGTTTTTCTCCCTTTCCTGCATTTGTGGGGAGATTGCCCCCACACCTAACCAAGACAGCACATGTAGTAGCCATGTGACTTACGGGACCAATAACTTGTGACCAGAAATGACTGGCAGAGACATAAAGAACCAGGGTGTACTTTTCCATGTTCAGTTTCTCTGAGTGGCCAGACCTTGACTATGGAAATTTACCTTCTCATACTCAAAGTAATTTTAGATCCTTTTTTAACAGTTCAAACTCTGTTATGACTCCATTTCTTTTCATGATATATATATAATGAGAGCCTCATCCTTTTTGTTGTAACTCTCTTTGATGTTATTATGTATTGTGGGGGAAATAGAATAATTTAGTCAGACCCCCCCCGCCTTAGGTCCGGTTAGGGGTCATGCAGCACCTTTTTTGTAGACAAGTTGTGTGGGGGTAGAGTTAGTGCACATGTGCACCCATGTATCTTTTGTTTGTTGCTATGGTGTGTTCTTCAGTTTGTGAAGCAGAGCTGGTCAGCAGAGCTCACATCTAATAATAGAGCATGTTTACTCTGCTGGCAGCTGCTCAGTTTTTTCTTTGGACTTTGCCAGTAGCAGTTGAGTTTCTGAGTTTCACTTTGGACTGCCTAGGTAGTACATGTGTGTGTGCTGAATAAAGACTATTCCTCCTTCAACCAAGCCTCCAAGGACCTTTTCGCCAGTTACCTAGCTCATAGACCTGCATGTGAAGGGTTTGTGAACTGGCCCAAGGGGTCTGTGAGCTCCAGATCCCCAGATGGCCTCAGGTACACATAAAAGGCTGAGCTGAGGAAGATTGACACCACGAGGATGTGGGGGACACAGGTGGAAAAGGCCTTCGTTCTGTCAGCTCTACTTGGAAACTTGAGCACAGTAGAAAAGATGTGAACATAAGACCAGATAATGAAAATGAAACAGCCTCCACCAATTCCAAGACCAGAGGCAACAATCACAATCTCATTGCTGAAGGTGTCAGAGCAAGAGAGCTTCAGTAGAGAGGGGATGTCACAGAAGAACTGGTGAATAACATTGGACTGACAGAAGGGCAGCCGGAATGTGTTGCCCGTGTGCACGCCTGCATAGACAAGACCACTGAGCAGAGAGGCCAGTGTTGTTCGGATGCAGATTCGAGAGTTCATGATCACAGGGTAGTGGAGGGGCCGGCAGATGGCGACATAGCGGTCACAGGCCATGATGGTGAGAAACAGAAGCTCCACATACACAAAGAAAACCACTAGGAAGACCTGAGATACACATCCTGACTTTGAAATGGTGCTGCTGTCAAGCAGGGAATTGATGCATGAGTTAGGGACCGTTACAGAAATGTAGCATGCATCCTCCATCATTTTTCCAAGTTGTAGGGATTTTTGGTAAATGCTTAAAAAAACATATTTCTGTGTGACTGGGCTCTTATTTTGTAATTTCTTTGTCAAGGGTACTCAGTGCAGAGAGCTCACCTGCTGACCTGCCCTCAGCAGATAATATGAACTAGAACAACCTTTGTTGCATTATACTATTAAGACTCGTGGGTTAATAATGATTACAGTATAATATAGGATAATTATTGATGCTATTGACAATCAAAATAAATCATTCAGATATATGACATTATCAAAATACAAAATAATATTATGTTTAACTCCTCAAAGACCTTAATGAATGTATAGAGATAAACGTGATAATAAGTGGGAAATACAAAATCTGTGTATTCCTTTAATCGACCTAGCAAATAAGGTTTAAACCACATAATCAAATAAATGTATTCCCAAAGAACTTGAATACATTTTTGGCAAAATTTTGGTCTGAAGATAAGTATGATGTATCTATATCTTTCCCTTGACATGAAAGATAAGCTGGTAGAGTATTTCTAATCACCTCATGTCATACTTCTACCCCCCACCAAACCCACTTATCTTTTTTGCAGCATATATTTTATACACATTTTTATGGTCCTTCAAAGAATATATATATTTTTTATATTTAATTTTGAATGAATAAATTACTAAATGTTCTTTTTTCTTCTATAACACTACACATGGCCTTTGAAAACTAATTGACACCATTTTTATTCTGGGTTTATCAATATTTGAAAGTGGATACATATAAAACAATTTTAACATAAAATATTTATAAAAATAACATTTTAGGCTTTTTAAGTTTGATTCTTTTAATGAGAGTTTTTAACTTGAAAAAATGTATTATCAGGGCTTTCTTCTTCATAACACTGGATCTTTTACCCAATGGCATGTTCCAATTATCCAAAACCTCAAGAAAGGAAAGTCTTGGGCCAGCCTGGTGGCTCACTGGAGAGTGCGCTGCTTGGGAGTGTGGCGGCGCTCCCGCTGAGGGTTCGGATCCCATGTGGAGACCGGTTCCCGCTCACTGGCTGAGCGTGGTGCGGGTGCAACACCGAGGGTTGCGATCCCGTTGCCGGTCAGTAAAAAAAGACAAAAAGGAAAAAAAAAAAAAAAAAAGAAAGGAAAGTCTTGATATATGATGTATTTAATGGTATTCCTTATTCAATTTGCATTGATTATATCTCAATATAATCCCAATCAATGATCTCAACTCATTACAGAAAACATGAATATTACTCAATATTTTGCAGTAAGTCTACTCAATTTCCTACATATTTCCTGAATAAATCATCCTTTTCATGGTTTTTTTGATG